GTGCTGGTTTTCCTCAGCTGGCACCTAAACTCACACAGCATTTCCTGGGGTCTCCCCCATTCCAGGAAAGTGCAGCTCTCCTTAAGGGATTCTAGATGAATTTGCAGCATTACTGTAAATATTTTTTTTTTGAGCATCTGTACATTTTGTTGGTGGAATATTTGCGTGCTGGAGTAAGATTCTCTCCATTATATTTTTTGCTCTTCAGTTGATGGTAAATCTGTCCTGAAACACCTTTTTGAGAGCTGGAAGTTCAGGAAGCTAGATTATTACTCTGACATAGGTTTTGTTTCTTTTTTTTTTTTAATAAGTAATTACTTTTCTTAAAGAACTTGTAAACTTTTTCCCAATATCCCTTCATATCTAGGTTCTCTGATCTGCTGTTGTAGGTTGTGTGTGAAGAAATACGGATTTGTGTTCTAGGAAGTCTTATTGTTAATATTTTAAAATAGTGATGTGAAAGCCTGAGTGCTCCTATCATTTTTTTTATTTGTGTTCTGTGTATCACTGCTGAAAGTTGTGTTTATTTGGTGAGGTTGGAGCCAGCAGTCAACGCCACGGTACCAAAACTATCTGCTTTCTTTTCCAGGCAAATCTGTGAAAATTGGAGACATGTCCAGTTCAAACCCCCCCTAGTAATTAAATTAAAATTCTCTGTAGATTGGCTACACTTGAGCAAAACCTTCACTTTAGGAGTGAGTTAAGAGTGGGTGAGGATGAAGGAAGAGGTTTGGGAGAAATGTGTTTGATTGACCCAGAGCAGTGAAGCATCAAACCCATCAAAACCCAGATTTATAGGAGTGTAAAGATCAGGATTTGGAAAAAAAATGGTCCTCAAGTGATGCTAAATGGCTTTAAGGCCCTGCATGTTAAAAAACGGGGGAAAATAAACTTTTCTTTGTGAAGGGGCGTGGGAGGGTCCTGAGCTTAACGTGATGTCAGGCAACGTTTGTACATAGTTCAAAGTTTTTAATTTTTTTTATATGATGCATTTTTTCAAGTGTATTTTGGTCTTTAATAGATGCAATTGTAAGTACTGTGTACACTCTCCAGCTAATAAAATTTATAAACTGAGGAGCTTTTGCTCTGCATTGCAAATTTTGTGGTGGGCTGTGGGGAGGGCAGGGGGGACTTTGGGGTGGCCAGGCAGCCCAGCCCTGACCTGGCGTGACCCAGGGGTGGCCGGACATCCCTGCCCTGACCCTGTGCCCTCACCTGGGGTGGCTGGACAGCCCTGTCCTCACCCAAAAGTGGCTGGATAGCTCCTGTCCTGACCCCCTGCCTGACCCAGGTGGCCGGACATCCCTGTCCTGATGACCCTGTGCCCTGACCCAGGATGGGCGGGCAGCTCTGGCCCTCACCTGTGGTGGCTGGACAGGCCTGTCCTGACCTGGGGATGGCCGGACAGCTGCTGCCCTGACCCAAAAGTGGCTGGATAGCCCCTGTCCTCACCCGGGGGTGGCTGGACAGCCCTGCCCTGACCCAAAAGTGGCTGGATAGCCCCTGCCCTGACCTGGGGATGGCTGGACAGCCCTGCCCTGTCCCTCTGTCCTCACCCACGGATGGCTGGACAGCCCTGCCCTGTCCCTCTGTCCTCACCCGGGGATGGCTGGACAGCCCTGCCCTGCCCTGGTGTGGCTGAACAAAGCCCCTGCACCCCCATACCCCAAAAGAGGCCAAGCAGGCCCTGCCCTCACACCCTGCCCTCACCCAGCGTGGCTGGACAGCCCCGGCCCTCAGCCCCTGCCTCATGGGCCCAGCACGGCCATTTTGGCACCCCTCAGCCCCATCCACCATATCGCTGCCCATGGGTGCTGCTCCTGTGGGCCCAGGGCCGGGCTGTGGGTGCTGAGGGGGCTGAGGGACACTGAGCTGTCCCCTCAGAGCTGTTCCAGGTGTGGGGGGGTTCTCTGGGAGCGGGACCCTCCATCCTGGGCTGATTCTGTCCAAGGGATGAGGCGGTGCCTCAAGATGGCGGCGTGAGGGGAGAGGGCTCTGCCCCGGGCCTGAGGGGACCCTCAGAGCTGGGAATGGAAGACAAGAGGAAGAAAGGAAGAAAAAAAAAAACAAAACAGGGAGGAAGGCTGCCTTTGAGCTGGCCCGTGTTGCTCCATGTGTCCCTCAGGTGTGAGGCACGCAAGTGCTGGGTGTGGGCTGGGCAGGAAGAGGCTGTGCCACCATTCCAGCCTGGAAGGGGATGGGAAATGTGCCTGGCAGCGGCTCCATGTCCTGGCAGAGCTGTGGGCACAGCACTCACGGAGACGCGCCATTACCTCCTGCAGGATTCATTGTGTTCTGTAATTATCCCTGAAGTCACCTGAAAGCTGTGCTGGAGCGCCAGGAGGGTCCATGGAAGTGGCAATGGAATCTGTATCTGTACCACTCCATGTGCCCAGCTGCCCTTCTTTCCAAGATTTAATCCCTTTATATTCCAGGTTACCTCCCAGGAAGGTGATTCCTCCTCATCCCCAACTCCCAGGGATCCTGTCATTATCTTTTTTCAGCTGAATGAAAACCTCAGAATGAGCTTATTTCTGTGTTTTGGCACAAAAAAAAAAGAGTTTTCCTCTTAGGAGGATTGGGTGGGCTTTGAAAGCTTTAAGAGAGAGCGAATTTCCCAGTCTCCTGTAATCCCTCTGGGCACGCTGCTCTTCCCAGGACTGGAACTGCACACTCACTGCAATATCAGAAATAGTTAATGGTACAAACCCCACACCAACATTTCAACATCTCAAAACCCCCAGAGCACAAATTGGCAGTCATGAATTACTTCCAGAATTGGTCAATACAGTGATGGTCACAAAAAAAACCCCAAACAAACAAACAAGAAAAGAAGGAAATGACAGTATGTAAGATCAGAGAGTGGAAGCTGGGGTAGGAAATGAGGAGAACAATCACGCAAGCCTGCTGAGGAAGTCAGAAATCAGTTTCTTTAGCTATTATAATGTAATTGTCCAGCTTTTTTTTTTTTTTTTTTTTCAGACAATTTGCAGTAGAATAATAAAATCATCTTGGATATAATGGTAAAAAAACCTGGTGTTGTGTAGCCACATCAAAGCAATAAACAGAATTTACTTTTCTCTCTCACCCTCACCTTCAGAACTGCATAATCACCCACAGAACAGAGTTTATCAATCCATGGATGTATTCGCGGCCTTTCCACCTCCCTTCCCTCCCCTGCCACCCAGTATCCAGGCTGGAATCTTCCTGCAATCTTGATATCCAAAAATTAAACCCATTTTTGTGTCCTGTTCAGCATCCTCAGTCTCTAGCTCACGGAATTAAGAGGAAAATCTCAGTCAGCTGAATTTGGGGATTTATCCATAATCCCTGAGGGATGTTTGCTCATATCACTGTGATAACAGGATTCTGTAGTTGGATCAACAGGGGTGTAATTTGTAATAAAGTCAAGCTAGATTTATCCTGGAGGACAGGTGTGTGTTAATAAACAACAAACATGGAAATACAGAGTTATTTCTTTGTAAAACAAATCAATGCATCGGAGTGTAAATTCCACCCCAGGAGCTCAAGCTGATGACAATTGATACTATAAAGTAGACAAATATTTTCCAAGAAGCCCCTTGTTTATTAGAACATGTCAAATGCATTACTTGTCTCTCTGAAGCCCAGGAAAAATCTCATAGGTTTAAAATAAAGCAGATTTTTACCATCTTGCTGAATCTCATCAGAATAGGCAGTAATTAATAATTTTTTTGGTGAATATTTATGTCCAGAGGAAGGAGCTCACGTGGCCTGGCCGTGCTGCTGTATCAGCTGCTGACAGACACAAGCAGTTTCCTGTATTTGGGTTTATAGCTCCCTGCTATTTAAAAAGAGAGTAATTTGGAAAAGCAAATGCACCACAGCTTTCCTCTGGGTTTGCCCACCAAGGTGCTCTGCTGTTAGAAAAGTGCAGTTATTTTCCAGGGGAATTGTGCTTCCAGGTCTTTCTTTTCCCTCACTCCATCACCACCCTCAGCAGCTGGGTACAAACCGAGCTGGGTGGTTTTAAGTGAAGTGGTTTTGGCTTCTGGATATCAGCCTTGGTTCATCTACAGCTGCACATATTTCCTCCTTGTCTCACGAAACTGGGGAAGAGCAGAGGGGACGTGTGGTGAAAGGGAACGTGAGCTTTAATGAGATTTTGATCAGAGTTACCTGGAATTTGGGACAGCATTTTGCACCAAACACAGCGTTGGAGTTTCCTGTCGGCTCTCACAGGATGAGAGCACTGAGGGACACGGAGTTCCTTTTTTTGTTTTTTTGCAAACAGCCCCAAAAGTTCTGATGAACCTCGAGTTGTGATTCATCAGGGGGGAAGACAGGAAAAAACAACCCCCATGGAGTGTCCAGGTCACCCAGTACAGGAACAGAGCCAACATCAGCACAGAGGGAACCGGGGAAGGGAAGGACAGAACAAGCCCCAGAAATATTTCTGCCCCAAAGCCATTTGGTTTTGATTAATACAATCCTCCCAAATTACATTCATTGTTTTTGATGGCAATCAGTAAGTTATTGATTAATTTCTTTTTATTTCTTTGGGGATATTTTATTTCAGATGGCAAATTCCCCTCTGTGGATGCAGATACAGCAAGTCACTGTCTAGACCAGGAGAGAGCAACACAGATTTTCTCCCCCAAAAATTGCTGATTTAAGACTGAGAACCTCACAGTGATGGAAGGGAAAGACCTCGGAAGGACAAAGGTTGCCAGATGTCCCACCATGAATTTCAATTTCTGGACAAAACACAGAACTACTCTAAAAAAGGGAACCCAAAAGTGTAATTAAAATAAGCAAATTTCAATCATTGCTTCTGTGAGCAATGAGAGGTTGAGCTCTGAGCTGCTGTTCCTGCACAGAGCTGGCTCTGGATGTTCCAGCCTGTCCCGCTGGCTCTGAGTGCTCCTGGACGTTCTAAACACTCCAGGGTGTTCCAAGCATCACCTCTGCTCTGGGACACGACTGTCACCCGGTGTCCTGCAGGAATCCACACCAATCCGGAGAATCAGCTGGATTTTATTTAGTTTTGCAGGGAAAAAGAAATGTGAGTGCCCATGGGTTTGGAGCCTGGGAGAGCTGAGTGCAGCTCAGTGGGGAGGGATGAACAACCACCACATGGGAGAGAAAACACAGGGAGAGTAACAGAGACAGCTCCTGTGCTCACAGAGTCCCTTCAGAGAGGAGAAGCTGGCTCAGAGATGCAAAGAGACCACATCCCTTTCCTGGTGTGTCCTGCAGTTCCTCACGCCTTTCCACAGGGATTTTTCCAAGCATCCCCACTGTCCAAAGCAGCTTTTGGGAGCTGCTCTTCCTCACCTTGGAAAAGCAGAATCTGTCACCTGAGGTGACAGGAAGTTGATGGGTGTCAGTTCAGACTGTGATGGAATGGTCCTGGGAATGATGTCTGGAATAACTGCCTGGGGATGAGGTGCCAAGGGGAAGAGGTGACAAAGATGGGGACATTCCCTCTCCAGAGTGACAGGTTCTTCCAGACCTGTGTTTAGTAGTGATCCTTCTCTTATGGCTGGTGGCAAACCCTAATTTGCCTTTTCCATGGATTCCCTTTGGATTGGCTCACGCAGAACTCTCCCAGGAGAGGCCAATTCCATCATGTCCAAGGTCAGCAGGGAGCGGGAGCACCTGCTGCTCACCCAGGCCTGGGTTCTGCCCTCTCTCCCTCTTCTTCCTGCTGTGGGCAACAGCACCGACCAGCACAGCCACCATGAACTTGGCCACCAGGAATCCAGCCAGGATGTAGAAAACAGTGAAATCCACATCAGGAGGGGACCTGTGGGGAACCAGAAACGCAACCATTAAGGGGATGATCCAACCTTGAAAAAATCTCTTGTAGTGTTGCCTTAGTCCTGGGAAGATTAGAGATCTCAGCATGAGGAGTTTTGGGCTCACCTGGAGATGCTCTGCACGGCTCTGGGCTCCTCTGGCAAGTGGGTCACCAGGTCAGCTGCTGATGGAAACACAACAGATTAGTCTGCAGACGTTTTTGGGGGATGTTCAGCTGGGCAGGTAACCCAGGTGAAACAGGGCACTGGGAGCAATAAAGAGGTGACGTGTTAGATACCCTCTAACAGTGACATCACACTGCTCTAAATCAGGAATAAAAAGAGGCAGTGAAACACAGGACCTCCTTAGAGCAAGACAAAAATAGATATTGACTCAAGTGGACCCTTGGCAGCTGCAGACACCCATGAAATTCCAATAGGAACCCATGAAATTCCAACAGGAATCCATAAAATTCCAGTAGGAACCTGTGAAATTCCAATAGGCACCCATGAAATTCCAATAGGAACATGTGAAATTCCAGAAGGAACCTGTGAAATTCCAACAGGAACCCATGAAATTCCAATAGGAACCTGTGAAATTCCAGTAGGAACCCATGAAATTCCAATAGGAACCTGTGAAATTCCAATAGGAACTCATGAAATTCCAACAGGAACTCATGAAATTCCAACAGGAACCTGTGAAATTCCAATAGGAACCCATGAAATTCCAGTAGGAACCCGTGAAATTCCAGTAGGAACATGTGAAATTCCAGAAGGAACCCTCCAAACTCTTAGCCCCAGGAGGTACCTGCCAGCACTTCCACCTGCACCATCCTCAGGCTCTTTGTTTGGCCCAGGAAATCCGTTCTGCACTGGTACAGCCCCGCGTCCTCCTTGCGCAGGCGCCTCATGGTGACGGTCAGGAGCCCGGCGCGGGCGTTGTCCCTGATGGAGGTGGTGCCCCTCCTGCTCCTGGGGAAGGGCAGCCACGCGGGCGGGGCGCCCACCACGTGCTGGCACCGGCTCTGGTCCAGCTGCCTGCACCAGCTCTTCTCCCGCCACCACTGCCGCGGGTCGTAGGAGCAGTTGACAGAAATGGTGTCCCCCTCCATGGCGGCCACCACGGTGACGTTCTCTGCAGCACAGGATGCTACGAGGACAGAGGGACAGAGGGAGGGGTGAGACAAGGTTCTTCCATGTCTATCCCTCATTGTAGGAATGCTGAATGTCATTTTCATCGTCTAGTGATGTAGGGCTGTCACCTGTAGGACTGTCACCCATAGAGATGTCACCTGTAGAGTTGTCACCCATAGGGATGAAACCTCTAGGTCTCTCACCCATAGGGATGTCACCTGTAGAGTTGTCACCCGCAGGGCTGACACCTATAGGACTCTCACCCATAGGGATGTCACCTATGGGGCTGTCAACTGTAGGACTGTCACTTATGAGGCTGTCACCCTCAGGGCTGTCACCTGTAGGATGTCACCTGTCCACTTTTGCCATGACCAACCCACTGTACTCAGATCTTGGCTCAAATATTCTGGAATTTGTCCCAGTGACAGCTCCAAACCAGTATCCTACTCACTGGTTCCTTCTGAATCCCAGTTATCAAATCCAGTTTAACTTTTTTTTCTACCCTATTTTTTAATATCTTACTAATTTTAACCACGTTGACAACTGGTCTTTGCTTGACTTTTTTTTTTTTATTGTCTTGGTTCCTCATTTCTAATTTCCATTCCTCTTTGTGACAGGCAGAGGGGACAGTCTGAGCTATTAATACTTCCAGAGAGAAGTACAGTGTGGTATTTGTGGAAATCTCTATTTCTAGTGAAAAAAAGTCACAGGAAAATGCTTCTGTGACACCATAAGTAATGATAAAACAAAAGTAAATTTAAAAATAGATTCTTGTGAGGACTTTGTGCTGGCTGAGCCTTTTAATAACACTTCTTACAATAATTTCAACAATCCTAAGTGAATTGTAAACGAAAAACTATGAAGTTCTTTCAGCCTGACTTGAAGAAGACCTAAAATGGATTTGTGCTCTGCAATCCAACACCTACAGGGCTTTATCCTGATGTGTTGCTCCCCTTGGTTGTTCCAGTCAGAGTTTACCTCATGGAATATCCAGTCCAGTCCTGATCAATCCCTCCAAAGCTCTTTAACTGCTTCTCCCATTTCCCCTTCCTTCCTCCAGCTCTGCCCCTTCAGTCCCAGAATTCCAACAGCACTGCAAAACATCTCTCAAACAGAATCACTGAAAGATTCCCTGATGTCCCTCTGGAAAATGTTGTGTTATTCTCTTTTCAACCAATTTTGCTGACAGATCATAAACTGTTGGTGTTCCTCCTCTCTTCCTGGGTGCCACTGGGCAAAGTGCAGTGAACTTTTCCCAAACTCATCCCAATTTTTGGGTCAGGTTCCTGTGCTCCCACAGCCTGAGTCTGTTGCCTTTGCCTGCACTGTTGTGAGGATCTGGGTTCCCCAAAGCACTGCAGAGAGCCCCAGCTGGGCCCTGTACCTCAGTCCTCATTTCAGCTGGACATTCCTTTCCAAGCTAGGAAACCCAGGTGTCTGGGATTTCAGAGCTGTGCCCTTCACTGGGTTTCATTTCCCTGCTCCTGAGCCCCACCTGTCATCATTTGCATCTATGTAAATCCCATTTGCTAATGCAAACAACCCAGGATTTTGCAATTTCACATTGCACACAGGACTTCCCTCATCAGTGGTTCCTGTTCTCACTCTAAACGATTCCTGTGAGGAAATCTGGGAGCACTGGGATCACCCTTTGATGGGTGACCCTTTGCTAAAAAAAAGGGAAAACTCTGAGGATGGAGCCTTCAGACGGAGACAAAGCTTTGCCCCAATCCTTTCCCCTTTACCTGAGCCCAAAGCCACATGTGGTTCTTACCTGACAGGAAGACCAAGGTGAGGTGCAGGAGCTTCTCCATGGGGCTGAGAAGAGAAGGAGCAGGAGAGGAGCTGGAGAGGAGAGAGCCAGATCAGCCCATGGGCAGCTCCTCTCCCCCTCCTTGCTGTGCCGGAAGGAAGGAGCACAGGAACTTGGCATCTTTTTCATCCTGCACATTGAGCAATTCTCCAGGGACAGGCACTGCCCTCGTGGGCTGAAAATCCAGGCATCAGCACTGCCCAGTCCCAGCCACAGCTCAGGCAGCCTGGAAGGGAGCAGCACGTGGTGGCCTGAAGCCACAGGCTGGGTGTCTGCTCCCACTGGAGCAGGATTTCATGGAATCATGGAATCACAGAATGATTTGGGTTGGAGGGACCTCAAAGCTCATCCAGCTCCACCCCTGCCACGGTCAGGGACACCTTTCACTACCCCAGGCTGCTCCAAGCCCTGTCCAAACTGGCCTTGGACACTTTCAGAGATCCAGAGGCAGCCACAGTTTCTCTGGGCACCCTGTGCCAGGGCCTGCCCACCCTCCCAGGGAAGAATTCCTTCCCAATATCCCTGTGGTAGTGGGAAGCCATTCCCTTTTGCTGGCACTCCAAGCACGAGGGTGACAAATCATGATGAATTATTTACAGGAGCTATGAATGGGGGGAATTTCTGGAAAGCTGAAAGGGAGGCTGTCCTGGTAGCTCTGGCACCATCCTGAGGGTGAAGGAGGACAAGGACATCATCCCCTGCATTTCCAGGAGAAAGAGGAGCCTGTGCATGGAGCATCCTTGTCTGAAACCCAACCACACAGAGCAGGGCAGGGACACTGCTCTGGGAGAAGCTGTGGGTGCTTTAAAGAAGCCCAGCACTCACCTGTGTTCTGTACCTGGCACAAAGGGCACAGGATCTCTGCTGGGGATTCTGAGCAGCCAATGCCACAGTGCTGGAGGGGCTCAGGGATGCAGCCACAGAACCCCCAGAATATCAGCAGACTGATGGGGGTGGGCTGCTGGTTTTTAATTTTTGAGATGATTTATTTACTTGGAGATCTCCCATGAAAGTACAAATAGACCCTGGCTTTGAAACTGGTGTGGTGCTAAACCTGCAGGCCTGGCCATTCCTAAATGTGCCTTTCCTCAAGTTAGTGGGTAAGAAAATGGTCCCTCACAGTGACCAGAAATTCTTTGTCAGGTGACTGATTGCAGGTTTGTTCTTTCTTGTTCCAGTGAGCACAAATCTGGATTCTCTTCAAGAATCTTCCCAAAAATGCCTCTCTTCCACTCCACTGTTTTTTGCTATTACTCTTCCACAGCTTGACCCAGTGCAACTGCACGAAGATCAAATTGTTAGGGGAATGTTGGGCTGAATGAACCATTTCCAGAACCATTTTCTTTTTCTTTCGGTCAGGTCAACTCTGAAAATCTTGAAAAATTTCCATCAGCCTCCCTGCTGCAGCCCTGGCAAGAGAAACCTGTTGGAGAATGATTTGGGTTGGAGGGACCTCAAAGCTCATCCAGCTCCACCCCTGCCACGGTCAGGGACACCTTTCACTACCCCAGGCTGCTCCAAGCCCTGTCCAAACTGGCCTTGGACACTTTCAGAGATCCAGAGGCAGCTACAGCTTCTCTGGGCACCCTGTGCCAGGGCCTGCCCACCCTCCCAGGGAAGAATTCCTTCCCAATATCCCTGTGGTAGTGGGAAGCCATTCCCTTTTGCTGGCACTCCAAGCACGAGGGTGACAAATCATGATGAATTATTTACAGGAGCTATGAATGGGGGGAATTTCTGGAAAGCTGAAAGGGAGGCTGTCCTGGTAGCTCTGGCACCATCCTGAGGGTGAAGGAGGACAAGGACATCATCCCCTGCATTTCCAGGAGAAAGAGGAGCCTGTGCATGGAGCATCCTTGTCTGAAACCCAACCACACAGAGCAGGGCAGGGACACTGCTCTGGGAGAAGCTGTGGGTGCTTTAAAGAAGCCCAGCACTCACCTGTGTTCTGTACCTGGCACAAAGAGCACAGGATCTCTGCTGGGGATTCTGAGCAGCCAATGCCACAGTGCTGGAGGGGCTCAGGGATGCAGCCACAGACCCCCCAGAATATCAGCAGACTGATGGGGGTGGGCTGCTGGTTTTTAATTTTTGAGATGATTTATTTACTTGGAGATCTCCCATGAAAGTACAAATAGACCCTGGCTTTGAAACTGGTGTGGTGCTAAACCTGCAGGCCTGGCCATTCCTAAATGTGCCTTTCCTCAAGTTAGTGGGTAAGAAAATGGTCCCTCACAGTGACCAGAAATTCTTTGTCAGGTGACTGATTGCAGGTTTGTTCTTTCTTGTTCCAGTGAGCACAAATCTGGATTCTCTTCAAGAATCTTCCCAAAAATGCCTCTCTTCCACTCCACTGTTTTTTGCTATTACTCTTCCACAGCTTGACCCAGTGCAACTGCACGAAGATCAAATTGTTAGGGGAATGTTGGGCTGAATGAACCATTTCCAGAACCATTTTCTTTTTCTTTCGGTCAGGTCAACTCTGAAAATCTTGAAAAATTTCCATCAGCCTCCCTGCTGCAGCCCTGGCAAGAGAAACCTGTTGGATGTGACTGGCCTGGGAATGAGGGCTGGTTCAGGCCCCTTTGGTCTGTCACCTCCAGCAGGGCTTGGTGCAGGGAAATCAGGAGCCAGAGCTCCTGGAGAAATGGAACTGAGCCCCATAAACTCATGTCATGTTGCTCCCCACATGACTGCTAAATAAAATGTGTCATTTGGAGCGTTTCCAGCAGAGACTGGGAAGTGCAGGAGCTGGTTCTGCTTATTCTTAGAATCCTGCACTCACATCCCCAGCCCATTCCATGAAAATGAACCCAGCCACAGCGAGGTTTGAGTGCAGCACTGGAATGAGTTTGCTTGGCCATAGTAGCTGAATTCCTGGGATTGGGGCAGGGTTTGTACCAGGACACAGCTGGGATATCCCACCCAGCCATGTCCGCACTTCTCCTTTTCACAAGGCCAGGCCTCCACACCTGCCTCTCCAAGATTCTGCACTTTAATGGAATTGGAAAAGCAGATGTACAGGAGATCTGTGGAATTCCCCCACAGCTCTGCCTGACCCGAGACAATCTGCTGTGAGTGTGACAAAACCTCTGCCTGGCCCTAAAACAGGAGGGAGGGCTGAAAATGCCCAGGCAACACCACACACACCTCCTACTCCTCATTCCCACTCTGTATTCCAGTTCCTTCATCCCATTTCTGGCTTGTTTGGGATTCTGGGCTTCATTCCCTGCCGGTCCTTGGGGACTGGTTGAAGGCAATGACGGCATATTCCACATGCTGGGGGTTCCTGGGAGCCTGACCCAGTTCCACGTTGCAGTAAAGAGGATCCTCGGGGTTGGGGTGGGATTGCACATCCAGGTTGATGTATGCTGGCCCTTTGCTGTCATCCTGGGAACTTTCCCTCCTCCCAGTGCTGCCAGGCTGGGAAAAGAAAGGGAAAACACTTGTTAGCATGAGTCAGTGCCAGGCCACAGCTGCTGAGATTTTCCCACAAGGAAAGGAGAAGCTGTGTCAAAATTTACGTCTGGTCATGACAGAGATGAAGGAACAGAGAACTCTCTTCTTCACCACCTCTCCTGGATACAGGTGGAGCCTCATGCTCTGACCCTGCTTGCTACTCCTTGAGTGCCTTCTCAAGGGTTACTAGAATTTCCTCCACTGGGTTTGTTCCTACTGGAGTTTCCTTGCATTAATTACCCCCTCTGTCTCCAGCTAGGAATATTCCTCTCTCTGCTGCCATTAAATACCATTTCCCTCCTGTTTATAACCAAACTGAGCTCCAAGCTCCTCACCAGCTGGGTCTGACAGTTCCTCCGTTGGTCAGAGGTTTGGGAAATGTTTCATTTTCCTTACCTGTGCTGTGCCCTCTGCTCTGTCACTGGTGTCCTCTGCTTCGCTGGTACCTTTAGAATGAGGCAAAATCAAAGGGTTTAGATGTGGAGAAATCCATGAAAAGCTCTGCCTGAGGAGGTTTGGGAGGGCTGTGGCACTGCCCAGAGATGGGATGTGCCTCTGCCCTGGGCCTGGGGAACACTTTGCTCTCTTTACTCCTCCTCTAAGGTGTTTGCACCCCTGTCAGGCTCTGGAGGAACCTGGGTTTGATTTATTCTGAGGGGAGGCAGGGAGGAGCCTGCCTTGCCAGCCTGACCTTCTCAGGGCACTGATCTCAGCTGGGGTGCAGGGAGGGAAGGCCCTGCCTGGGACAACCCCAGCTCCACGTACCTGTTCTCAGCAGGAGCCTGGAGTACCTGACAGCCAGGGCTATGGAGGTGAGGAGGGCCAGGAGCAGCAGGATGAGCAGCACCACGGACAGGATGAGGAAGGTGTTCCCACTGCAGCTGGAGGAGAGGAAGGCAGTTACCAGACTGGGATGGTTCAACAGCCCATCACCAAACAGGGACTAAAAGAGGGACAGGGACAGGTTTTATGTGCTCAGTTCAAGCACTTGGAAGGAGGGTTTGGTTCTTCTGCAAGAGCTCCTGCAGATCCTGCAAGGGTCCTCCATCTATGAGCCTGGGCAAGTCCCTGCTGATTCAGAAGGGAAAAAGAGGCACTGGGGACCTTCCCTACTTCCTGCTTCTTGATTTTTCTGCTTGGCTGTATCTTCTGAGCTTTTCCTAAACCATTCTCCAGGCTTTAGGAACAAGCCACTGTTCAAGAGCTCCAAGCACAATTCCAGGCTCTCTGGAGCAGGGGTGATTCTGCTCCTAGGTGCTGCTGTAGCATTGATGACAGCAGATGTACAAAGGGAGAAAAATCCTTCACATTTAACTGGTAAATGGAATAATAGCAGCCAAGGACGTCCCATTGTTAAATACTCAGACAGGAGGGAGCAAAGTCCAGACTGAGGGGCAGAATCTGAGGGTTCTGTTCATGTGAAGTGCAGAAGTGAGAAGATAAAGATGCAGAGAGGCACCTGCAGTAGGCTGTGACATGATTTCACCAATCTGTCTCTTCATTTGGAATTAGGGTTAGGGCAGGAACTGGAGGAGGAGAGGCCGCCTTTGGTGAGGATCCTGTCACACCCAATTCCTCTGCAGGTAGGAGGCAGAGTGCCCAGGGGCTGCGTGCCCCAGGTATACAACACGAGTAACTTGTGAGTGCTCAGGCTCAGAGATTCTTAGGCCTTACCTGTCACCCAAAAGAATTTCTTGACTTCGCCTTTCAGAGTCTGGAAAACCTCCCGGAGGCAACGCTGCAATCACAGACATGAGGAGAGGAATGGTCACGGTGGGGCTGCCCTGCATTCAGCAGTGAAACCCCTGCCCCTGCTGCTCCCATGGCCAGGGCCCTGATCCCCTGAGCTTGTCCAGAGATCCCAGTGTCCCCTTTCATCATCTGCACTGCTTGTTCTTAGTGCTGCAAGAGCCAGGCTGCAGCCTGGTGCTGCTCTGCCATGACCAGGACCCTCAGTGCCTTCCCTCACCATTAAAACATTGTCTGAAAGAGAACCCGCAAGTCACAGATCTGTAAAATCCGAGTCTAAAGTTGTTCCCTTGACAACCCAATGGAAGGTCTTTGAAAGCCAAAGGATGAATCACTCTAAAGGGGCTATAAAGTCACTCTAAAGAACTGATATCAAACACTGAGTGGCAGAACCCACCCTCAGCACAGCTGGAGCTGCTCCCAGGTTAAGGAGGAGCAGCACAGCACTGATGTGGTTCTGCTCCCATCCCCGCTGCTGTTCCACAGGGTGGTGGCCACGAGGAGATCCACAGCTGTAGGGTTTGGGCAGGCAAACACAGGCAAGGTGGGATGTGGGGTGAGCTGGGCGTACAGGAGAGAGCAGGGCAGGGAGTCTGGAATCCACAAACGTGTCCTGACAGATCCATACCCACCCTTGGAAACGCTGAGCGTGACCTCCTCCATGCGGAGCAGATCGGAGCCGTCCTGGAGCGCGCACCAGTACACGCCCGAGTCCTGCACCTGCAGCTGCTCCATGGTGACGGTGACAATGCCCTGCTGGGTGTCATCCTGGATCCTGACACCCCCCCGAGCCGTGCTGTTTCCTGCTGGGGACTCTGATCTGGTGGTCACCAGCACGTTGCACATTTTCCCCTCTTTGATTTTGCACCAGGCTTTGCTGACAGCCTGGTAGTCTGCGATCTTGTAGTGACACTGGACAGAGACAATGCCTGACTCCTTGGCTGGGAGCTTCTGGGTCCCTGCAAAACACCCAGGATGTGTGCTGACACCCCAAAGTGGGATCCCACAGTGGGGCACCCCCTCCCCAGCACTGCAATACCCTGGAGCTGCCTCCACCCCCACCCATCCACCTCCACCTGCACATCCACCTCCCCTAAGCAGAAGGGGACTGCACCCAGATTCCCCATGCAGAAATGTCATAAATGTGGGGGTCCTGTCCCCCTCCTCTGGTTCCCTCAGAGTGGGACACTCAGCCCATAGGGTCTGGGAGGGTTGGTGGCTGTGGAGTCAGAGCAAGAACAGTGCCTGGCATGGAGCAGGGTCCCAGCAGCACCCAGTGGGAAACAGTGCTCCAGCCACAGGTCTGGCCCTGTGGGAAGCACTTGGGATGAGCATCCCCATCTGTGGGACCCACAGGAACATCCCCTGAGCCTCTGCTGGGAGCAGACAGAGCGTGAAGGACCAGGCTTGAGCTTTGGCTCGAAGGTGCCAGGGATCAGCTGGCACTGTGTGTGCTGCAGGGAGAGATGGGTGTCATCACCTGGGCTGAAACCTGCCCACACCCACACCTGGCTGCCAGGAGGGGCTCACTCTTGGGCAGTGAGAGTGCAGTAGGAACTCACTCTTGGACACTGAGTGCAGTAAAATCCCACCCTTGGACACAGAGAACACGGCAGGTACTCACTCTTGAACACAGAGAGCACGATCTCCATTTTCCGGGTGTGCCCAGAGCCCAGTGCACACCAGTACACACCAGAGTCCTGGTTCTTCAGGTTCTTCATGGTGACAACGAGAGCCCCTTGACCATTATACTGCATTGTCACTCTGTCTTGCAGGGATTTCGTTTGACTCTGTTTTGAAGATGTCTGTCTCCCCGCTGGGCCTGTGCAGTCAGTCTGCCCTCGGCACCAGGCCATGCCATACCCCGCTGGGCACTGCACTGTCAGGGTGTCCAGCTCCCACCTGAGCAGCTCTGTGAAACACCAAAGGTGGGCACTGCCCAGTCAGTGCTGGGCACAGGGGCACCTGGGACAGACCGTGTCCTGGGGCAACTCTCTCGGGAGAGCTCCTCAGGGCAGGGGGAGGCAGGGCAGGATCTGGGAGCCAGCAGGACCAGGCAGGTCTGTGGGGCTCCTTCTCTCCCTGTGTGGGAGGGAAAGCAGGGAGCGAGGCTGGGGAGGGGGCTGGGGGGACCAGGGGAAGCTGCTCAGCTGTGGGGGAGAGGGGGCAGAGGAGGGGAAGGAGTGATGCTGCTTCCTGACAAGGCTTGGCTTTGGGTGGGGTACAGGTACTCACCCCTGAAAACAATCAGTGAGATCGTCTTTAGCCGTGGATAGTTACTGTAAGAGCTGTAAATAGCACAGAAATATGTGCCTGAGTTCTCTGCCTTGAGGTCAGTCATGGTGACAGAAACAGTCTTACTAGTTCTGTTATCCTTTATTTTAATTCTCTTATCACTGGATTGTACGCTGTCTTCAAGGTATGTGCGCAGGACTTCTTGGCATCCTCCATTTCCCCAGGGGAGGCACCAATATTTTATCTGCTGGTCAGTAGTCCACGGTGCATAAGGACACTGGATGTATAGAGTGTCCCCTTCCCGTCGTCTCTGGACTTCTGGGGTTTGGCTCTGGAGACCTGGAAGGATCAGATGTGGTGAGGGAGTGGGGAGCTGATCACAGAACCACAGAATTACAGCACGACAGAATCACAGAATCAACAAGGTTGGAAAAGACCTTTGAGATCCCCAAGCCCAGCCCACGTCCTAACACCAGCCTGTCACCCAGAGCATGGCACTCAGTGCCACATCCAGTCTGTTCTTGAACACCTGCAGGGATGGTGACTCCACCAGCTCCCGGGCAGCCCTTTCCAATGCCCCATCACCCTTTCTGTGAAGGTGCAGAGCTGCCCACAGCCCCTCGGGCACACAGGGAAACTCTGCCTCCAGCCTTCTCCCGTGGACACTGGTGGCTGGAAGAACTTCAAAAACCCAAAATCCCTTCCCCATGCTGAATTCACCTGCTTGGAAATGGGAAGGGCAGCGTTGAGATTTGAGCTGGGGATTAAAGCCCACAGGGTGCTCGAGGGGCTGGCCCTTCAAGCCACGTGTGGCACAGTGTCTGCAGCTGTCCCCTCATCCCTGCTCCTCCCTGCAGGCAGATGGGGACCATGCCCTGCCCGCACCACCCTGGGGCCAGGGGCTCTGTTTGGGATGCTGGGGAGGAGCAGAGGGAAGCATCCAGGGCAGGGAAGCAGCTCTCCCCTGCCACATGCCCAGCCATGCCAGGGCTCCTGGCTGTGAGGCTGTGCTGCCTCTGGGTGCCACGTGCTGGGAGCTCTGTGCTCTCTGCAGGGCTGCTGAGGGACTGGCACTGCCCTGACCCAGGACTGCCCTCACAGGAGCTGAGCAGGCCAGCATGGTGGGAAAGGCTGGCTGGGAGAGGCTCTGTGCTCCCAGCACGGATCATCCTGGAAACCTGGAGGTGCCAGAGAACTGGGGCTGCCCTTCCCTGCCAGCCCTGCAGCACTGCCCAGCTCAGAGCCCAGCTGGTGATGGAGGAGCAGGAAGTGGGGAAGGTTCTCCCTGTCCCCAGGGACACCCCGAGCCCTTCTCCTACCTGGGAAGCAGAGTGGCAGCAGGAACAGGGCTCTCAGCTCCATGGCCACGCTCAGGCCTAGGGAAGGGGCATCACTGGGGGCTGCCCAGCGTGTCCTGTGCCAGCGTGCGTGCCCTCGGCCTCTCCTGCCTGGCAGTGACACAGCTGGGGGGGAAGTGCCGAGTTCTCACTCTTGCCACAAGCGGAAACACCTCCCCATGTTTTGTTACAAAATTAATATGACAGCAATGTCAGCGTGCTTTTGGGGAAGTGCCTGAGCCCAGAGCACGGCCTGTCCTGGAGCCAAAGGCTGTTGCTGCTCTCGCCTGGCTGTTGGCATCTGTTGTGTCACCCTCCTGTCCCCCCAGCCTGTGGTGAGGTCGATCCACCTGGCTCCTCTTCCTCCCTGGCTGGTAGCAGAGAAATGTTCTGGGTTTTGGTGTCACATGAGTTTCCTGTAGCTGATTCTGCACCCAGGAGCTTTGCAGGCCTGGGCTCAGCCAGGGCTAACAGAGGCAATGGGGAATGGCTCCTTTCCCTCCTTTCCCTCAGCCTCTCTGAGGAACTCTGCCTCCTACAAACCCACACAAAGCCAGGGCTCCTGTGCAACCCTCCAGGTGAGTCCTGGAGCCGCTGTGTGTGCATCCCTCAACCACAGCTCCCTTTGGTGGCAGCTGCCCCAGCTCCGGGGGCTCCCTCATGATCTTCCACACCTGGTTCTGTCCCCGACAGCTGCTTTGGGAAGCAGGAGCAGGGTCAGGTCTGCCTCGAGGCCAAGCTGGCCTTTCTCTCTCTGCGTGCTGTGAGGATGCTGGAGAAGGCCTGTGCTGTGCTCTGCTCCCAGACGCCCCGTGCTTCCACACTGGGAATTGTATCCCTCATCAGCAGGGCTTGGCTGAGCCTTTCTGCCTCCCTATCACCTCCCAGTGTCCTTCCCTGCCCTTGAAGGAGGAGCAGGGAGCAGAGCAGGGAGCTGCTGTGCCAGCACGGCGTCCCCTGGGCCGGCACCTGCCCCGCTCCAGCAGAGCAGCACACGCAGACTCCACTGACACCCCGGCTGCAAAGAATTTCCAATTATGTGAATAAGCAGCTTATTAACAATACATTCTGGCTAATCATTTTGTGCTAGATATCTCTGCATTGTCTTGTCCCCAAATCCCTCTCTCATCAGGCACTTGATGCTCGGTAACGAGAAGGGGGAACGCGCTCGGGCTCCCGTGAACAAATCCCAGGAGTCTGCAATTAGTTCAGTTGTTGCAACTGGTTGCCTCCAAACGGAGCCAAGAGCTGTTCCTCAGCCCTTCCCATGGTGTTTGGTGCATCCATGGAGGTCCTGTCCGAGGGGAGAGGCTCTGTGGGGCAGGACAGGTCGTGGGGAGATGCCCATCCAGGGCCTGGCATGTTGGAGCTGCAGGAATGTCATGAAGTTGGGTCTTTTGCTGCATCTCTGACAGAGGATCGATATGATTTTAATTCTAGAATCACAGGGAAGAAGATGAATGTTATCTCAGGAGGTCACTTCATCCAGCCCAGTGACACAGCAGGATCAGGCCTGTCCATGGCATTTCTAAAGATCTCTTTAAGCAGTTGGGGTTGCAGCATTTTCCTGTTCCAGGGAGGCACCAGCCCCATCTGAACACTCCCCCCAGCTCTGCCTCTCCCTGCTCTTTGATGCCTTGCTCCACTTTAATGCCTCTGTACCCACTGTGACCTCGGAGATCAGATCATTCCCATTCTCCATTCCTCCCCTCAGTCCTTCCCTTCCAGACTGACTCCAGATGGTTGCATCCCAAATATTTGGATTTTTCCCTCCTCAGCTGTTCTCCTGACAACTCGGACCATTTTCTCCCCCTTTCTCTGAACTCTGTTGTCAATCCACCTCTTCCCTGACTGTCTTCTTGGACACCCCAAAGTTCCTTAAGGATGGAGCCATCCCCTTTCTGCTGCCTCCTGGAAACCCTGGAACTGCAGCTGATTGCAGCTGGTTGACTCTGGTTGCTGTCAGACCCACGGAAGCTCCTCTGGGTTAGACTTTTCTGAAAATATCGGGGGTTTGGGGGTTTTGGGGGGTTTTTGGGGGGTGGGTTTTGGAGCTGGGACCACTGCCACAGCTCCCAGTGCCACCCTGGGACCACTGCCACAGCCCCCAGTGCCACCCTGGGACTGCACCGAGCCCCCAGGTCCACCCCCAGTGCCACCCTGGGACCCCTGACACAGGCCCCAGTGCCACCCTGGGACAGCAGTGAGCCCCCAGTGCCACCCCCGGTGCCACCCTGGGACTGCACCGAGCCCCCAGTGCCACCCCCAGTGCCACCCTGGGACAGCAGCGAGCCCCTAGTGCCACCCTCGGACCCCCTGACACAGCCCCCAGTGCCACCCTGGCACAGCACCGAGCCCCTAGTGCCACCCTGGGACCCCCTGACACAGCCCCCAGTGCCACCGTGGGACCCCTGACACAGCCCCCAGTGCCACCCTGCCATGGCAGGGACCCCTCCCTCAGCCCAGGTGGCTCCAAGCCCTGTCCAGCCTGGCTGGACACTCCCAGGGATCCAGGGCGCCACAGCCCCTGTCACACAGTGTCTGTGGTACTGGGTGATCTTTCACACCCCTTCCAACCCAAACAATTCCACAATTCAAAGATATTCCTGCCTCACCTGCAGCGGGCTTTAAAAAACGCTTCTCCCCAAAACTCTGAGCCGACTGCGGACTGGACACCTGAGTGCTCAGCTGGGGGAGCCCAGCAGACCCTCCCTGGGACATAACCACGAGTTACACCAACACAGAGCAGCCCTCACCCTCACCCAGCTCTGCAGGGGCTTGGGGGAATCGATCCCGAACAACCCTGGGAAAGGAAATCCTGGGATGAGGGAGAACAGGGACACTCAGAATTAAAAGGTGGCTCAGGAAGGAGCAGAGGCAGTGAGAGGGGAGCAGGGCAGGGGCAAGCTGGGACCCCCAGGCTGGGTGTGGAGGGGCTGCTGGACACGGGCTGAGGGCTCTGGAGGAGAAGAGGCCCCACAGCAGCAGCAGCTTAGTGAGGGGCCTGGTGTTTGGTCTGTTCCACATCAATGGGGCGTCCAGCTGTGGCTGAGGATGAAAGCAAGAGAGAGAGAGAGAGAGAGGATTAAAGGCTCCCAGGGTCTCCTCTAACCCGCCTAAGACTCGCCAAGAGGGCAGTGTGAGGCTTCAGGAAGGCTTCTTCATATGGAAAATATTATGGGAGGGAGAGAAAGAGGAGGGGGAAGGGAGCAGGGGGAGAGGGAGACTCTGTCCAGAGAGTGCTGGAGGAGGACTGACCACTGAGAGGCTTTTGGAGGCTCGGCCTGAGCCACAAGTGCTGAGCTCTGCTGGTGGGGCACAGGTGAGATGAGTTTGGGAGGCCTGGAGATGGGAGAGACTCTGCAAGAGGAAAGGAAAAGGATGAAAGAAAAGTGGAGAATGGGAGCAAAAGGGAGGAGAGAGGGGAGAGGTGGCAGGGGAGGTGGTGAAAGGCGGGCTGAGGGCTGGCAGGGGATGACAGGCAGCTCTCTGCTCCCTGCTGGGGGGGCCAGGTGGGAGCCCCCGCCTGCTGCTCTGCTCCCGGGAATGTTCCAGGGATGGGGAATGAATTTCTACCAGGAGTGAGACATTCTGCACCGAGCAGCAGCGAGTTTGCAGCGCAGGGTTTCCTGTCAGAGGTGTGGAGCTCTCCTGCCTCTGGGGCAGGATAATCCCAGGAGTTAACACCCAGCCCTGGTTATGGCTAGGATGAGGGACCTTTCCTGCCTCCTGCTCTGGCTGCCACCGTTTCCCTGCTTCCATTCCTGGGATTTTCTGCTCCCCCACGTGTGGCATTCCCGCTCTCACCAGCCATTCCTCCCCCACCACCTCCCACCGCTGGCATCCACAGGCTCCCACTGCACTTCCCTCCTTGATTCATCCTGAATGACCTTCCTCACCCTCATTTCCAGCACGCAGGGTGCTGGGGGAGGGCAGGCTGTCCTCTCCTCGCCAGGGTGGGTGTCCAGCACCCAAATCCACAACAACCTGCACAGCAGGGTCAGGGATATTGGAAGATTTGGGCTGAAAAACAAACACAGCTTTTCCACTTCCACCCTGTGCCATGGGCAGGGAAAACTCCCACCATGCCAGGCTGCTCCAGGCTGGCCTTGGACACTCCCAGGGATGAGGCAGCCCCAGCTGCTCTGGGCACCCTGTGCCAAGGCCTCACCACCCTCACAAGGAGAAATGTCCATCCTGGCCTGGGCTGTGTTCTTGGCCATCGCTGCAGCAGCTGAAGGCACTCCAGAAGGTCCAGAAATTCAAAATGCAGAGCTGGAAGATGTGCCCTGAGCCCCCAGTATGGACACACCTGCCAGGTGAGGGGGATTTCTATGACCATGCATGTCCTGGTGCCTTGTGATTCCTCACAGAATGAGTGGATTTCAGGATTTTAACAGAAGAGAGATCGCTTCTCCCTCCTCCCTAGAAAACACTTCTCAGTCTCTGCTCCAGGGTCTGAGGAATTTCAGATGAAAGTCTCAAGGTCTGAAGTGTCAGAGGAGCAGCCACCCCAAAGGTGCTGCTGGGTTTGGGGACAGCAGCTCAGCTCTGATCCTGTTGGGCACTCAGCTGGACCCCACCCCGGCTCCTCTCACATCCCAAAGCTGAGTCTCTTCCACACTTCTCCTAAAGAGTTGGCAAAGCGTTTTGCCCCCTTCCCTGGCCCAGCAGGGCACAAATCCCTTTGCCCCCAGTCTGGAAATGTGCCTTCCTGTCCCTCCCTTCCCTGCCTTCCTGGGGAGCCAGCGTGGATGCGGTGCTGCCTGTCTGAGCTGCTTAGTTAAGAATAATAAACAAATTCCTAAATGGAAGGATATTCTTTAAACCTGCCTTGTGCTGCCTGCCAGGGAATGCAGAGCCCACCTCCTGTCCCCCTGCAGCCCCGGCTCCAGGCTCTCCTGAAACCTGAGCTGCTTCGCCGTGGAGCTGCACCGTGGCCTCTGCGTGCACCTTCCCCCCTGACCCCGTCTGGATTCTCCTGTCCTTTTCCTGACACGCTCCCAGCCAGCTCCTGGCTCACACTCACCCCAGCCGGGGGCTGGCAGGGCTGGCACTGAGCTCAGAGCTCGCTGTGCCCACCCCACAGCTGGGCA